ACCCTACACTGCTGAATTCTATCGCACCATCAATCACCCACACTTGGCACAACAGATCTCACCGCTGCGCGGCGACTTGCTCTCGCCCAGCTCACCTTCGGCCGACTCGTTGGGTTCGTTATCGCCGCCACCGCACTATCTGCACGGTCGCGCCAATTCAGTGTCGCCGCCTGTGCGCTCCGAAATCATACATCGGCCGATTGGCGTGCGACAACTGCCACAACAAACGCCATCACAACACCAACACCACCACCACCACCACCAGCACCAGCAGCGTTTCATGCCTTACCCGCTGCCCAATGCGGCCACCGCCGCCGCCGCTGCAGCAGCAGCAGCAGCAGCTGCCTATCACTCGCAACACGCAACGCATCAGTCGGCTGGCTATCCGACACCATTGAGTTATTCGCACCATCACCCGCATGCGCCGATCTCACCCACCTACTCGGAGTCCTCGTACTACTCAATGCGCTCAATCACACCCGAGCCACATTGCTCTGCGCTGCCTGAGGATTTGTCGCTGAAGCACAGCATGCTGCAAAAGTCGTCGCCACAAAAAGCGCACGGCAGAAGCGATCACCACGCCTGTGACAAACGTGATGCTAGCTTGGGACACAGCAGCTCAGCGCCCAGCACGCCCACATCCTCGTCAAAGAAGGACAAGTCGGCACCGCCGCGCTATCAGTGTCCCGACTGCCAGAAATCCTACTCCACCTTCTCCGGCCTCACCAAGCACCAGCAATTCCATTGTCCCGCCGCCGAAGGTAATCAGGTGAAGAAGTCGTTCAGTTGCAAGGACTGCGATAAGACCTACGTTTCGCTGGGTGCGCTCAAGATGCACATACGCACCCATACGCTGCCCTGCAAGTGCAACATCTGCGGCAAGGCATTCTCACGCCCCTGGCTGCTGCAGGGCCACATACGCACACACACCGGCGAGAAGCCCTTCAGCTGCCAGCACTGCCATCGCGCCTTTGCCGATCGTTCCAATCTGCGCGCTCATCTGCAGACGCACTCCGACATCAAGAAGTACTCGTGCGGCAACTGTTCGAAGACCTTCTCGCGCATGTCCCTGCTGACGAAACACTCCGAGGGCGGATGTCCTGGTAGCAGCGCAAGCGCGAATAGTAGCAGCGGTAACAGCAGCAGCGGCAGCAGTTGTGTCAGCGCGCTGGTAGCTGATTCGATGGCGTCCGCCCATGAGTTGCACAATTATCCAGTCTTCGTGGAGCACTAGAGTGCAGAGCGAAGAGCAGAGAAGTGTAAATAAAGTGCAAAGCTAAGTTAGAGCTGCGCGGCCAAGCCGAGTCTGCCATGTTCCACCAAAAATTAGTTCCTAGTTCGAAACCACCCACCACCACCAGCCATCAGCAAGCAAGAAAAGCAAGAAAAGCAAGAAAAAATAATAGCTCCTGCATACGCAAGCTTCAGCGCGCGCATCTATCAAACTATCATTCTAAATGAGTAGCTAACGCAGGCGCGAGCGTATGTAGCCAACCCATATCTCCCAACTCCCTCCCTCCCAAGAAAAAAA